TTACTACGGAATGTGTACTACGGTAAAAAGTTAACGCGGCTGATTGCCCGAGAAGATTTTATTGAATTTGTTCCCGAAACGTCGGTGTACTACGGTAAAAAATTAACGCGGCTGATTGCCCGAGAATATTTTATTGAATTTGATTCCGAAACGTCGGTTTACTACTGTAACCAGTTAACGCTTCCGATTACTTATAGTATTGTGAATATAGGCATTCGGCCATGTGAGCATTCGTACGTGTGAGCATTTGTCAGTGTGAGCATTTATCAGTGTGTGCGTTTGTCAGTGTGAGCATTTGTCCGTGTGAGTAATTTTCGTGTGAGCATTCATGACAGTGAGCTTCTTTCTGTGCGCAATTTTCGTGTACGGTTTTGTCATGGAACCCAAATTACCATAGAATGTTTGACAGACTCTTCATTTTAAAATTTTACATGTTTGGCAAGTTACTATTGCCATTTAATCTTTCATGTGTAAGCAAATTTGTGTTAGTTAAAGATGTGCTGGACAAGGATTTTGCGAATAAATTAAGAACTTAAATCAGTTTTTCAATGCACATAAAAATAGTCTAAAAATAGAATGGTAGCTAAAATGGAGTACTGTACATTATACCTATTAAATTTTAAAAAAAGTTTAACATGACAGAAAATATATTTAAAGTAGTTTGTGAAAATATTGTGATTAAATTAAATGTAAAGCAGATAGTATACAAATTATTGTATAACTTTTTGACATTTTTCTGAAAAGTGTCAAATTTATAACACCAATCTACAGACCACGTAATTTTTAATTTAATTGGGATATCTGATTTTGCTTTTAAATAACTAACTAACTAGACCAATACCCAGTGCACACCTCCTAACCCATCCATGCGCACTACATGCCCCTCCCGTCTCATTCTTCTTGACTTAATCACCCTGACAATATTGGGCGAGGAGTACAAATTTTTAAGCTCATCATTATGCAGTTTTCTCCACACCCCATTCTCTTCTCTCCTAGGCCCAAACATTCTCCTCAACACCCTATTCTCAAACACCTACAATCTATGTTCCTCTCTCAGAGTGAGAAACCATGTTTCACACCCATACAAAACAATGGGCAAAGTTATTGTTTTGCATATTTTAATCTTTAATATGTATATTTTGAAATTTCTTCAATATAACGTGTTTGCCCCCCCCCACCACATCTC